TTCTTGCTATGCTCTTTTTTCGCTGTTCGTTGTATAATAATGCAATATTGAGAGCGATAGTATAGAAGTAAAGAGCGAAGTGCATGGTTTTTCTTTTCTCTTTTCTCTTGGAGAGTGCTGTGAAGGACAAAACGAGTACTTTCTTACTTTCACCCACATATTCTACACGTGCAAATAACGTCGTAAATCTATTTTTATGTGTTTGCACCAAAAAAACAACAGAAACTCCAAACATTTTTCACCATATTCACAATAGATGTTCGACTGTTACCAATAGATAGATTGATTCTAGCACATGACTGTTATTTTTGGTGTGATTGCTTTAGGAAATTGAGTAAATTCAAATAATTAATTGTGCATGTTACATTCACTCTCTTCCACTTGTTGTTCTTCAATTGCGTTTTTATTAAGAAATGCATCATACATATATTTGTGCGATGAGTGTATATATCTTAATAATGATGAAACATTTCTTTCTTATGAATGAATAAAATCTCGGGATTCAATTATTATCGAATTTATTTTTCTTTTAATCATAATTGAAGCAAACAGATTTGCTGTTAGACATATAATGTATCAAATATTTGAATAGTATAAGTTTTACAAACAAAAATAATCGAGTAAACGTAAGCAATAGTACTATTAGTCTGTCACAACAAAACATCGATTACATCTAGAAAATGTGATGCAGAATAATACTAAAATGAATGAAAAAATTTTAACATATTTTTAATACTTATTTAATATTTTCATTGTTGAACGCTAACTAAAAGTTGCTTTATACGTCGTTCAATACAGAATGTTACGGGCTTCATTTTGGTATAAACGAATAATTCTGATATTAAAATATTAACTAATTATCAGTTAGTAATATTCAATTATTAATTAATAAAATTCTTAATGAAATTTTCAGTGTTTTTAGTTTTAACTAGTCACAGTGCTTATTGTTTATAAAAAAAAAAGTCAATCACGAAACAAAAAATTAAATCTGGCAAAGCTAACTGTGCTTTTAAATGCAGAGCTCGCTCTTTCTAACGATAAATCGCGGTTTTCGGAACAATGTTTCGTTAACACTTAGGATCCTATGACATTTACATAAAGCAATAGTGAAAGAGCGATTAATTCTTTTAATCAGTAATGAGCAATAGAAGCAATTAAAATTGAAAATACTCTGCAAATTTCATGAAAACGATCTATTATGAAATAGAATTCAATTTTTATTGCTCTTTCTGATGGGATACCTGTTAATTAGAAACAATGCAAAATTGTATTAATTAATGATTGATACCAATATATATAGTCCCTTAAATTTTGCACTGAACGAGTATTAGGACAACTGTTAATTATCTTTGGATAACAACAAAAATTAGCTAAACAATTAAAATGTGCTAAAATTTTATTTCTTCAGTTTATGTTTCTTATTCAAAATTCTCTAGCAAGTTCCAATGATGGATCATAGGAGATGGCCCATAAATCGTGGAACACTTCGATTTTCTGTTGTTCACGAAAAAAAACACTGTTCAAAGACACCATTTTAAACTCATTCCGAAGAAAATTTCTCGTTCCTCAAAAATGTGAATTTAGTTTTCAAAAACGTTTTTTAGTGTCGATGAAAACTTGGAAGATTGACGACAGGTGCTTCACTGCTCAATTGCAGTCTCCTGATATTTTCTGAGGACATCCTAACCATTTTTTACAAGTTTGTGTTCATCAAGTTCGATGTAAAATGTAAAATATTGTACATTAAGCGCCCCCCCCCCCCACTCCAAAACCTATCTCGGGTCAGGTACATGCAAATTGACTGACATTTTTAGGGTATGTTGGGACTGTAGTGGAGAGGCTATGGTAGAAAATTTCAGCTCTGTACCATGATGTTGAAGGGAGATATTCACCAAACAAGGGTCAAAAATAGCTCATTTGAGACCCAAATTTCTTGGTCCCGGCTCGTGCTATATCCTTAATTTTTTTTTGTTTGAAAGAGCATGTCAGGATGCATCACCTACCAGAGCCCTTTTTTTTTATTCTTACTTTTTTAACGGAGAAAAGGGATCACAAGTTCAATGACTCAAAAAACGCGTCAAAAATGGGTGTCTATTTCAAAAGTGTTTGTATATATTCTAGAAGCAAAGCTTAATTTAAAAAAAGGACTCTGGTAGGCGATGAAGTTTGACATGCTCTTTCAAACGCACAAAAAAAAAAAAAAAAATATATACATTGAGTTTGGACGGAGAATTCTAGGAAACGCGCTCAAAAAAGTATAAATTGACAAAAACGAAAAACATTTTTTGATTTTTCAAAAAACAGCTGGTTTTTCAAATAGGGGTTGACGAAAATCTTGAAAATTTTTTGGGAAAAATGAAGTAACGAGAAAAAAAAATTATCGTTTATGAAAGAGCAGATGACGGGCTATCTCCCATGTATTTATCTCAATTTCGGAATTTTTGAGGAATATTGACTTTTTCTGAGGGGGGGGGCTTAATGGATAGAGAATTCTATAGTCTACGCTTCTATGATCTTAAAATTTTCAATGATGTCGTTCAAGTGAAAAAGACTTAGAAGTAACACTTGATGGAATTTTGTTTTGAATATGCTCTCGAAATTCGTGTTTTCAAAAGTTAGTATTTTCTATATACGGTTTATCATCATATCATCGGATGCAGAATTTAATTCTAAACACAATGATGTAACATTTAAATTGAGTAACGAAGATTTTGAGATTATCCCCAATGGCATAAACCTTTCTGAAAGGGTATTGGGTGTGGGTGTGAATAAAGAATGAACCCACACCCCACACCCACACCCACACCCACACCCACACTACTCACATCCACCCACTCCCTATTGAAATATGAGATCGTTGTGGAACTTATCTTTATAGCTAAGGGAATATGAATTTTATCAAATTTTCTTTTAGTTATAAATTATTGTTCATATTTTTGATAGTAATGAAGTATCGAATGAAACCTTCGATATGTATTATAATTTTACTGGCAATATTAATTTCTCGTATTCTTTGTTTCTTTTTAAGGTTTTACTATTAGAGTTTAGTACGATGTGAGTAACTTTATTTTCTGACACCAGTATCAACTATGTTAAACAAGCAAAGACAAGACATTTATAAAAAACGGTAAAGCCATGTATCGATATCGAAAACAATGCAAAATTTGGTAATTTGAGTTTCAAGTTACATAGTAAAATAGTGATTGAACTTTTCCAATGATGCTAAAATGCCACCTCGCTTTCAAAACCTGAAAGTTGACTAGAACTCTTAAATTTGCTTAATATTTAAAACTCAATAGTATAATCGATATTTAAATAGATAAATGAGACTTTTACAGTGGAGAGCACTGCAATCAACGTTATGTCCTGGTTTCTTGAGTTTTATTCTCGTTTACTGTAGCCATACGTGGCGAGAACTATAATATATATGTGTAACATAATGTAGTACATGTATATCATGTGTTCCATTTTTTTCAAAATAATATATATTAACAAAAAAATCACATTTGTTTATTTAAATATTAATTATATTACAGATACAGGTAAATAGAGGTAAAGTTTAAAATTGGATTATTATTATTATTAAGATTTAATAGATGATGCTATGGGTTAGTATAATTTTCACTGATTTTTCTTTTCGGTAATGTTCGTTTCAATGATGAGATATACAACCGATGATAATTATGGTACTGGTTCTGATTATGATCAAAGTATTGGTCGTAGTCGTTAATAATAAACAACAGCTATCTGTAGAATTAGATAACGAATTTTACTTAAGTCAACAATTCATTCAGCTAAAATTTTTCGGTTTTTATTTATTCTTTGAAGAAATAAACTATATACATATGTCGCATTATATTACACATATACTAATAGGATAATTTCAAAATCAGAATTCGATATCATGTTCAAACTTTCATATGTCATAAACAATAAAAGAGTAAATATAGGATTCAAAACTAGACTAAAAACGCGAACCTGTTAGCTTTAATACATATCAATATGAAGCCTAGTGTACTGAGGGCTTTAGCTCGAACAAGAATGTAGCCAAGAAAAAAGTGGGGAGGGTAGGGATTTTTCTTTTATTATTCTCTAATCTTTTTTTGTCAATGAAAAAGAAGAATTTTTATTGGAAAAAATTAAAATTCTCTTTAAGTGGGTGCGAAGTACCTGTACTACATATTTGACTTCGAACATTAACTTATTCATCTTCATTTATGCTAGTAGGAATTTTTTCTAGTCTTTTTTTAGTTTTTCTGTTTTCTATGTCTCTATACATATTCTTGCTTGAAATATAAACAAACTTCCGACGTCCATTCGTTCGAGTACATTTGTTTGCTTTTTACTTCTCTCTCTGTTATCTACCGAAGTGATATTAAAGCTGTGTTCTATCAATTGTTTCATCATCTTTCATTACCTTAAAACAAATATCACCATCAAAAACTTTTGTCACTGTACTGCGCGAACCCATGAAAAAAATCGGAAGAGACATGAAAACGACATGCATTAGTTAGAATTATTTTGCTAGAAGGCTTGTTCTACAAGAGAAGCGATCAAAATATACCCAATAACCTTCCATTTCAACAATTTTTCCTATTCAGCTGATCATCTAATAGCTATTGAAAGAGATTACATAACCGAAAAAAACGAAACAAACTATACGGACATATTATTATGATTTTATCACGCCTATCGATTAAAAAATACAACGCATGACTTTTTTTTGGATCGTTCTTTTGTTAACATGTTCACATCCAATTGTTTTCATTTTATTGTTTTTTCAATCTGTTTCTTCAGCATTGTTTGCATGACTTACCTAGTTTCTTTTATCTGATCGTTCTGCGTTATACAGAGAACGTCACCGCCATTAGTAACACGAGAAAAGAGAAAGACTACGATCGCTCTTTTTTTTTCGTCGTCTTTCATACTTACTATAAAACACGGGAATAAACCCTGTGACTTATATGCTTATAAGTTCGTTTATACAAAAATAACTGAACATGGAACAACAAGCAGTGAGTTTCTAATTGATGAAATATTATATTAATGATATATCATTGAAAGATTTATTGACATTGTTTCTATAAATTTATTTTCTAATAGAAATCAGCATTGAAAACAGTTCAAGCAACTGTTACTGATGGTATTAAAGACATCATTGGAAGTGGTAAAGAAGATAAAAGTAATGAACAAGATTCGTCTTCAGTAGCAGATGAACCGACATCATCTGAAAATAATACAACTAAGAAAGTATCAAAACCGAGAGATTCAGGCCCTAAACAAATTAGTATTCGTGAAATTCCCATGGTAAATTCGTACATTCTAGTTGATCTTAATCAATCTATTATTATAGCTAGAAAATGTTCAAGAAGTCAAAAAGATATTTAATCGTCATTTACATTTTACTGTTGTTAAAGATCGCGATATAGCTAGTAATCGTGATTATTATACATCTACAGCTTATACAGGTTAGTTTTAAAGTAAAATATTATTTATTTTCTTTATTAATTTCTTATTTTAGTTCGTGATCATCTTGTTGGTCGATGGATTCGTACAAATCAATATCATTTTGAAAATGATGAAAAGGTTTTTATTTCTTATTGAATTCTTAATCAAGTCTTCATTTAACTTTATTTTAGCGTGTCTATTATTTATCTCTGGAATTTCATATGGGACGAGCATTATCAAATTGTTTGATTAATTTAGGCATTAAAAATACTGTTGATAAAGCTCTTTGTCAAATGGGTTTCAATATTGAAGAATTAGAAGAATACGAATCAGATGCAGCACTCGGGAATGGTGGTCTTGGTGAGTTAGAGTGTATAATAATCCGTTTGATTCAAGCACAAAAAAAACTGCTGATAGTTTGATACTTAAACGATCGATCATTCTACTGCGGTATATGCTCAGGATAATATTCTAGAGTTTATTCGAAACCCTTTTGAACCTTTCTGCCATATTCCATTTGTTTATGTTAACTACTTTTTAAGCTTAACAGGTTGCCTATACTTTCGTCTTTCGGCGTGTTATTGAATTCATTGTAAAAAGCCTTACAGATTAAACGTACTATGCAATCAAAAATTGGAATTTCCTTTGCTGAACAATGATTTTAATGAAATTCTAAAGTGAGAATTTATTTTCAGGACGATTGGCTGCGTGTTATCTGGATAGTATGGCTACATTAGGACTTGCTGGATATGGTTATGGTCTTCGATATGATTATGGTAAAGATTAATAGAAGATTTTCCACGAAAATATTATCTTATTTAAGGTATATTTGCACAAAGAATTAAAGATGGTTATCAAGATGAATGTCCAGAGAATTGGTTAAAGTATCAAACAACAAATTGATCTCTTTTATATGTATATACATATTATAAGTTTTATAGATTTGCAAATCCATGGGAAATAGGTCGACCAGAACATCTTGTGCCTATTCAATTTTATGGTAATGTTATTAATGATGAAAATGGAAAAAAGAAATGGATCAATGCAGATATTGTTCATGCTATGCCATATGATTTACCAGTAAGAATGAAACTATACTAAAAGCTTTTTAAAAATAATGTTTTATCAATACTCGTTGAATAATGATCATTTGACAGAGATTCATTTCAAACATAAACTGCTTGACTGAGTAGCTAATTACTGCTTACAAGGTAACTAACTGAGGTGATATCTCGTGTTTAGAATGAGACCTCAGGCATTACATAGGACTTTTTGCTGTCGTTTTGGAGTAATGGGTGTTACACTGGATGTTTTACATTTGGCACAGAATTGATAAAAAAAAACTGGGCAAACAAATTTTGAAGTAAAATTTTGGTCCATAGACTATTCCTGATATTATGAGAATTTCCTAAAAATTTTAGTCGAAAAAATGGGGTCTCATCTCAAACACGAAGTATCCCCCCTCAAGTGCTACTCTCATTAGTATAACGAGAACGTATCATGAAATACACGAAATCACATACAAAATGAAATATTTGAGATTTTCAATGTGATTAATTTTAATTGAGTCTATAAACAACACATATAAAAATTTTATTGCTATGATCAGTTATTCGCTCGAATAAATTTTGAAGTATCAAATTTTTTATTATTTCTAATATATTGTCTTTCCTGCCATTGAATTCGACAATAGCATCGAATATCATATTGAAACATTTTTACAATTTGTTGCGTAGTATAGATTGAAATTGAACAAAATTTAGCGGTACGATATTTATATCAGAATATGGAATCTTAAAAAAATCACAAAGAACTCAAGAGAAAAACGCAGAAAATGATATTCTCGACACCTTATTAGCTTCTATTTCACTTGATTTGGTGTAGGCATGTACCGAGCTTTTTTTTCATTACTTTCGAACACTTTTATATTAACATCTTGAGCTCTGAAATGAAAGACTGAATCATGAGGTCTAACCTATCAAAAGATAGACCAAACATCGTTNCTGTAAAAATACATACTAATTTGCATTTTTGGATACGATGCCTGCCATGTTCTATCTTTTATCCAAAAATCTCGTTTTTTATTTCAACATGCCTTTTGATTCGTGTTTCACATAAAGTTCAATAGAATGCTTGACAAGTCCGCCCAAATGAAATGTCGCTTGAACAGTTCAAGATATTTACATGATACTTTTGTAAAATGATCATTCCAGTCATGGCCAAATTGTACTAACTTACGATTAAGGTGGAAACCATTAAATGAGCTTTAATAAAAAACATTTGTCCGTCTTTCTGAATATTATCAATGTATTATACCTCAAAAAGTTTAATTCGATCTCTACAACAAAAGAATCTATCATTGCGTCACACTGAGTTTTTTAAAAGTCAACAAAAAAAATATGTTGGTTTCGAGTGAATGATTTCAACATTTGAAAAAGTCTATATTTTTTTATTTTTAAGCTGAAAAAATTATTCCGGCTGTTGATTTATCTGAACAAATATCATTAGCTGGTTTAGAAGCATCAGGTACAGGTAATATGAAAATGATGCTTAATGGAGCATTAACAATTGGTACATACGATGGTGCAAATGTCGAAATGGATGAAGAAGTTGGACGTGATAATATATTTATATTCGGCATGACAGTTGAAGAAGTTCATGCATTACGTGAAAAAGGGTAAAAGAAATATTTGTTAATATCAATATTGACTTCCAAAATTATTCAACATTGTTCATTTTCGAATTTTCTTTCCATTGTCTTAAAAGTTATTTATAACAAAAATATACGAAAACAAAAGGGATTAGTAAGTACCTCAAGATAATGTTTACCTATGGTGGAAACTGCAGTTTCTCAGTATTAATAATGCAGAATTGTTATTCTGCTCAGACTACGTAAAACGATAGAGTAAGCAAAGCCCTATAAAATGAGATGTCTCCGAGTTCTCTAACTGAAATACAACAATTATATTTATGACCTTAAACATAGCTTATTTTGCTTTTTTTTCTATGGAAAAGTCATTTGTGGACTTTCTGTTAGAGCGTCGTAGAAAACTCGCAGATATCTCATTTTGTAGCAAATGATTTTGCTCTATCGTTTTACTTAATTTGGCTAGAATGATAGCTTCACGTTCTCGATACTGAAACACTCGAGTGTCAGCTTTCTGGAGATTTCATCTTTAGGAATTCATTAACTAATGATTTCTTTTTGTATACATCTTCTCTATTCGAAGCATCAGTCGAAATCTTTTTAGCGTTTAAAACAGTCGAAAATAAACTTTGTTGTATAGTTTTGATAACTACTGTAGATATATCATATTTTCTTTTAAATTGAGTTTATATAAAAATAATAATATAACTAGGTACAATTCGAAGGAATATTATGAACGTGAACCGGAGTTAAAACGAGCATTAGATCAAATAAGAGATGGATTTTTTTCACCTGAAGATCCAAATCTATTTGCTGATATTATTAAAAGTTTACTTGAATCAAATGATCGGCAAGTTAAAAGACTTCTTTCAAATAAAATATTTCTTATTCTATTTTATAGTTATATGTTGCTCGCAGATTATGCAGAATATTTGAAAGCGCAAGAACGTGTTGAACAACTTTACAAAGTATAAACAGAAAGAAAACTAATTTTTCTTCCTCTTTATTTCTTAATTTTGATTCAGAATCAAACTGAGTGGACAAAAAAGTGTCTTTTGAATATAGCAGCAGCAGGAAAATTTTCATCGGACCGGGCAATTCGAGAGTATGCCAAAGATATTTGGAATGTTAAACCATCAATACAAAAATTACCAGAACCCCATCATAGTCGACCAGGCATTAAACATGAAATAGAAAAAATTGAAATGGCCCAATTCGGTGCCCAACGCGAAGATTATTGAAAATAAAGACATATTTTTTCATACGACGAACGGATTAAGAACACAAATAGAAATAAAAACATACAATTTTATTCTAGTTTATAAACATGCAAACTCATACTTTTAATATAAAAGAGCTTTTTCATTGTTTTATATTTTTTAATCACTTGTACTCTAGAACATATTGTAATAAAAATTTAACGTAATATTTAAGACATTGTATGATAGATACTATGAAAATGTGTCAATAGAGTGAACCCGTGTTGTACATTTGTTCGCACTAGCACCGATATACCGCGGTGAAATGGCAGCAAGAGCATAGTTGATCGTTTAAGTAATTAACTACTGTCGGTTAAGTGTTATCTTACCAGCAGCTTTTGTCCGGTTTTGAATCACATGAGAATATAGCAAAATTATACTTTTTAGCATGTTTGTTTTGTGAATGGGACAAATCTTTTTTGCTTACACAGACTTTTTTTAATTTCAGTGCGTTTTTAAATTTAGCATTATAAACGAGTTCTGGTTGATTTGTAACAGAAGATAACGGATAACTGATCTGTTTCAGAAAGAAATCATTTATTACTTCAGAAAAAATGAAATTATACGCATACTAAAGTTCGATAATGTTGTCACAAAAGAGACACTCAATCAATTCTTAAAGCCATGACATTGCTCATTCTCGACACTTCATTCCTTTCAGTTCGTATCGAACTTGTTCAATAATATTATTACGATTAAATTCTTTAATTAATTCAACTTATGTTGATTAGAAAAAGACTATTGAAAGATCTTTTAAACAGAAAACATACAATATTAGACGAGTTACATAGAAGCATAATAATGAAATAGCTTTTATCAATATCAGATATAATCACATTTATTCAAGATATTTCCTTTCTGGTATCCTTGACTTAAGGGGACCCCCCTTTCCGGTGTTTCTAAGAAACGGCCGATCGAAAATTCCTGAAACTTTCAGGGTGGATAGGTCTCGAGTAATAGAGCAAAAGTTATCATGGGCACAAATTTGCCAGACCTCATCTTCATGGGCTTCCAGAGACCCCAAGGTCAAAAACTTGCAAAAAGTTTTCCCCCCGTAAATCCACAGATTTCATCCGTTTGAGCTGAAATTTTTACTGTGGGTAGACGGACCCAATCGGGGTGGCCGTTTTTTTTTTTTCAAATATTCCAAATACTTCAGGCTGAAGAAGCAAAATACTGAAGACTTCCCAAAATCTCTAGGTTTTTTGGATCCTAAAAATTTTGCAAAGCCTGCCAAACTTGATTAGTAGAAGATATCCAAAAAAAAAACGGCCAACCCAAACCACTTGAAGTCTCACCAAAAAAATTTTCAGCCCGATCGGACTTGAAATGGCGGAGAAAAAGGGGGAAAACTGGTTTTTGATACCCAAAAAACTAGTTTCGAGAAAAATGCAAAATAAAAAAAACTTTTAGAAAATTTTTTTTCCGCTTATACGTAAGTATAGGTATACTATATCATAATATAACTTTATGTTAAAAAAAAAAATTGTTTTTAATGCATAGGTCTCCAAAAAACCTGATTTTTCAGAGACTTCCAGACCTTTGATGGTTCTGATTTTTATAGCACACATAGAGGGGACCTTGATACACCTTTACACGAAAGAAAAAAAAATCGAAAAAAAATCTTTTTGGCTCAGGAAAGGGGGGGTCCCCTTAAAAACCGTCGATAGTGACAAAAGACTACAGGTAGACTGGCAATCAATCAGCGGTTATTTGATAGTAAAGAGAGAGGGTACATAAGAATCTCGACCAAATATATAATCACCGGCATATAAAAAAATTTTATTTTGAAATGAGTTATACGATTGTAAAAAGAAAATAAGTATTAGAAAATTTTTACAAATAGGAGAGGAAATGGCTTTGGCCTAGGGATGTAGGTTCTACTTGTGATAAATCTATTAATTGGTGTTGTTGCCATTTCCTTCGCGGTTTTCCAACTCAACTGTCGGACCATTTTGCTGCTCAGTAACATGATTTGCTCGTCTTATACTTTTGTATACTATTATACTGGCCAGCCCTATGGAGACTACATTGATACCACACATGAGAGAAAAGTAGGGTCCAGTATGCATGGCATTCTCAAGAGGAACGGCAATAGATACAATAACGCCTGCTGCACAGAAATTGAGAAGAGTATTGGCGGCTGACACTGCTCCTGCTTCGTTCTGTTTCTTAGCTGTCAAATAAGCTGACACACTTGGTTCGAGAACTGCTTGACCAACGCTAAGCAAAATAATACCAATCATTGGTCCGACCAGATGAAGCTTGTAGTGGAATGTCCATCCATAAATAATCAACCCGATTGGATGCAGCATTGATAAGGCCAGAGCTGGTACAAGACGTCCTTCAGGACATCTTTCATGACCATAATACTTACTAGCTTTGTCTGACAGCCATCCACTAGCGATACTGGTTGTGAACATGGCTACTCCACTTGGTACGAAGAGTACACCAATAAGGATTTCTTTGTAGCTATACGGGTTTTCGCCAAGGTAAGTAGAAAAGAAGACAAGACTGGTATATAGAGTGGCAAAGGTAGTTGTCATCACAGCGATGTAAGGAACTATTGTAAAGTCCGTTAAATACACTAGTGATTTCCAAGGTTTTTGAAATGGCATTAACTCGTTGGGTTCAGCGTCGATTATGCGTTTGTTAGGGTTTGCTTTATGGAAGCGTTCTTTCACAAAGTACTGATGAGTTTCAGGCACTATAAGAAACATTAGGATAAGAACAGAAAACCCAAAGATTGATAAAAAGATGAAAGTACTATGCCAACCAAACGCATGTGATAACGGGCCTCCGATCAAAGGACCAATTACAGGACCAACGTTGAAGGGTACGAAAAAAAATGCTGCTGCCAATCCTCGCCCTTCCTCAGGATAGATATCGGCCACTAAGGCTTGACCGACCACCAATGTTGCTGATACGGCTCCACCTTCTATAGCGCGAAACACGATAAGAACAGCTATATGATGAGCAAATATGCATATTATTGACGCTATCACAAAAACAACGAGCGATATAACTGTGGTAATTTTTCGACCAAATCGATCTGATACGCATCCCCAAAAGAGACTCCACATACCACTCATGATCAAGTAGATGGATATACTGATTGCTACGAGTGTATCAGATGTATTCAAATCCTTCACGATGATGTTGAGAACAGGCAAATATATAGTATCGCAAAATGGAAGTAGAAAAGCAATCATCGACAGAGCCGCAAGTATAATGTTGCGCTGCAGATGACTTCTTACATCATAGATAGAGATTTCTTCGACTGCTGTAGGTAATGATGTTTGCAAAACAGCTGGTGTAGGCATAGAAACATTTTCCGTTAGTGTCAGCGACGGAGAAACGGTAAGCTCGCTTGCTTTACCATTTTTGAGTGACATCGACGATGGAGAAATAGCCAGTGGGCTCACTTTGCCATTTTTCAGTGATGTTGACTGTGGGGAAACAGTAAGAGTAGCTGCTTTTCCATTTTTGAGTGATGTAGACGACGGAGAAATGCTGAGCGGGCTCACTATGCCGTTTCTGGGTGATGCCGAGCACTGAGAGATAGTCAGTGGGCTTGCATTGTTCTTTGTGATGGGAAGCGGGCTTACTTCGTCATTTTTGAGTGATGACGACGGAGAAATGGTGAACCGGCTTACTTTGCCATTTTTACTTGATGCAGGAGGTGAAGAAACAGTGAGTGGACTCACTTTGTGCTTCTCGAATAAAGTCGATGACGAAGAAATGCTGAGCGGACTCACTTTGCCGTTTCTGAGTGATGCCGAGCACAGAGAGAGAGTCAGTGAACTTGCTTTGTCCTTTGTGATGGGAAGCGGACTTACTTCGCGATTTTTGAGTGATGACAACGAAGAAATGGTGAGCGGGCTCACTTTGCCATTTCCCTTGTTGTTTGTGTTGCAGGTACTTTCATCTTGCAAGTCAATCCCGATCGTTGGTGACGACGGATGATCACTAGAATTGTCATTATTTGAGTTCATCTATAAATGAAATTTTCAAGCACATCATTCTACAGATTTCATGGAAGATAGTCTTTAGGAGCATCACAAGCAGGCATATAGTATGAATAATTAGTTACAAGCAGTTTTTTTCTTGGTTTTGCAAAATGCCAGTACAGACTACTGCTTATCGTTTTCTTTTTAAGATTGTTAGGGTAAAATATGTATGTGGGTGATTTTATAGCCAATCACTCGACGAAGTCGAATGACAGTTTGATTGGATGTCACACAAACAAAACAAGAGTTTCTGTGGACAACAAATGATCATCGATACATTCTGATTGGTTAAAATGACACTACGCCAAAAGCTATATGAAAGGTTAGGGATCCTAAAATACACTCATCTGGATTCGCTGGTAATGAATTTTTATACATAGTGAACATGTTAACGGCTGCTTTCAAGAAGATTTCTGAAAAAAAGACAAACACAGAAATCACACAAATAGCAGACGTTTCAATCTTTAAAAAACGTCACTAGTAAACCCCATAGAACGAATTGTAGAAAATCGATACATCAAGTTACAGTAGCCTAGGTATTGCAATCTTTTATTTCCAGGAAAGTCCTCACAAGTGGCTTCTGTAGTTAGGTCAAGTCTCTTATCCACTTGCAGTAATTCTACTCATCAGCTAATACCCTCAATTTTGTGGATATCAGTTTCGTGTTCCCTTTCTATAGTATGTATACACATAATGTCGTTCTTGATCTTAGAAACCCATAATACATTCTGATTTTCGTATTCTTCTGTAAAATAATCTAGGAAGCTCTTGCTCAAATGGTTAAGTTTGCATCAGTAAAAGATTCAGCAGATGCTCGCCAGAAACCTGTATGAAACTCTCTATAAAAGAGACAAGTTTCTACTAATACTCTTCAGTATATATAAATATTGCGTTTCTAGAAGCAGAAAGCAGATGTCAAGGTCATAAAACTTCTCTAAAAGAACCGAGAAATACTGAGACGATTTAGTTTAG